AACTCCGTATACTTACTACCAAATTCCAGATTCATACTGCGTTCTTCTCGATCAAATGTTCAATATTCATTGCAGCAATCCATTTGTGACTGTATTGGTGTTTGATCGCTTCACTGTAATTCTTTGGAACTGGTGGAAGTGTCTTTTGGTGTGGATTGCCTAAATCATCTGCTGATGCATCCCATTGATCTCTTCCTTTTACTGTATCCGTAGATTGCAGTGTGAAGTGGGATTCTCTTGCTCTTCTCAGTCTTTGTGATGATCTTGTTGCTTCTGGTGGCTGTTGATTTGTTTGACCAAGAGGGGCTGATCGATTGTAGATGTTGTGATTTCTGCTGCCACGAGGTCTTCCCCTTCTCGCTATGTTTGGGATTACTGTGGAGGAATCTTGTGGTATGATTTCTTCTGGTTCCAATTCTATGACTGGTGTCTGTTGTAGTTCGAGTCGGTCTGTTGAGGTTTCCTCTATGGTCTCACTTTGATCCGATTGTTCTGGAGTTGGCGATACTTCTGGAGTTTCTGGAGTCTCCCTCACCCCCTCAGTTGTTTGAGAATCTGACAGCTGTACTGTTGGTGATAGAGAAGTGGGTGTAGGTAATTGAAAATCCCCTGATTCTTTCTCCTGCATCGGTGTTGCCGGTGTTGTTTCTTGAGCGGCTGGATTCGAGGCGGGTAGTGGCCCGGTAATATTATCGCTGAAATCTTCTCCATCCCAGCCAGCTGTGTCTAGGTCTTGTTCAATTGGATTTGTGAATGGGATATCCATTTCTGTGAACTGGAATTCAAGTTCCATTTGGCTTAACTTGCTGGTATCCTCAATCCTTGGATCATACAGCGTGTTTTCGTCGAAAGTAACGTCTCTAGTTCTCATGACTTTTCCTATTGCTGGGATCCAGATTCTGTAGATATTTGTGCTGTCATAACCACATAGATAGCCAATATGAGCTCTTGGCGCAGTTTTGTTTGACTTTTCTATTCCTCTCTTGTAGTTTTGTGTCAAGGGGTAAGCTCTGCAGCCATATCGCCTCAAGTGTGCTAGTTGTGGCTTTTCAGCCCTCTTGTGGGTAGACTGTTGATGAGAGTTCAGCCAAGTGTTGACCAACCCCAATGGTGTCTGCCACTTGTGGCGTCTTCGAGGCAATCTGTTTGACAGATAAACTGCTGCTTTTGCCAGCTCTGGTGCCATCAATTCAGGAAAGCGAGATTGAAATCGAAGTGCTCTCATGATCATAAACACAGCACCTCCAGCTCTTTCTGCTGGGTTTTGAGCACCAGTGTACTCAGCTGATCTTTCAATCATATATCCATTCACAGCTGCCCATAGTTCAAACGCATTGCGTAAAGCAACCTCCCAATCTAGGCGTAGAATAGAGATTTTGATAAAGCACTGTCTCTCGAGGTATGCTGCTAATTCTGTCATAGCTTGTAGTCCCTCCTTTCGAGTACGAAGAGTTCTTATCCAGAAGAACCCTGACCAGCCATCGCTGACCAGCAGGATCACCTTCTCCCCATTGTATGCTTTGCTAAGTGTAAAGAAGTCGAGAGATAGATAATCTCCTACAGCAGTTGGCCAATGGTCTGGGTTTCTGCGGGAAATTTGGCGAGTTGCCTTCCCAACAGCACAGGCATCACATTCCACTTTTGTGATTCCTTTTATCTGTATCCCAAGAGCTGTTTTAAGTAGCTGTTCCAGTCCCTCAGCGCCTGGATGACCAAGTCTCTCATGCCACAACTTGGCTTCTGCTGATGATGTTGGGAGTGGTTGTCTTGTTGACTGAAAACCTTTGGTTGGTTTCCTTTCTACGGTTGGGCTGAATCTCACAGTCTTCTCGGTATTGCTGAACGAGGTATTGTTCAGCAGAGCTGGGCCAGCTTCAATAATGTATTGACCATATCGGTTTGGTGTTTTGAATAGAAGTCTGCCTTTTGAGTCGATAAGACCCGGTATTCCTGTTGTAAAGATGATCCCTTTTTGCTTCAGCGGTTCTGTCCCAAGGAGCGATGTTGGGTATCCAGGCACAAGCCATACATTTCTGACTTTGATCTCCTTGTTGTTGGATTTGCCGCCTTGGTTTGGTTTGATGATCATTGTGCCTTTCGCAATTGCATGTACATCTCCTCCTCCAGTGATGAAGTCTTTTGTGACTGTGTAGTCGAGATCATGAAGTCTTGAGGAGTCGTTGCAGATGTGGAATCCTGTTCCTGAGTCTACTATCACACTGTCTGACAGTGGGAATCCTGAATAGAGACTTGCTTCTCCTTGATTGACGATAGTGACGAAAGATGAGAGTGATCCTTCTCCATCAGACACTTCTTGAGTATAGTGGGATGATGATTGTGTAGTGTTTCTCCAGTTTGAGGAAGATGTTGCTCGATCTGGGGACTTTTGAGACTGCTGATCGCATGCCCCTTTTCGTAGTTTTTCAACTATTCTCTTTAAGTGTGGTTTCTTCTGGAGATACTCATTCAGTCTTTCCAGTGCTTTCTTATTTTCTGGATTATCTTCATGATAGTTTGGGCCTCGCTTCTTAGGGTTGGCATGTTTGCAATCAACAAATCGGTGACTTTCGTTTGGGCAAGCTGCACACTTTTGCTCTCGTTTTGCCCCCTGTTTTATTCCTTGTTCGTTTTCTCCTTGCCAAGTAGCGAAACTCGTGTCTTTTAATGGAGCAGCATTCAGCCAGTCTGGGTGGAAAGTTCTCACCCAACTGCGGAAATCGTTAGCTTGCTCAATTCCAGCAGTCTTGCTGATCGAACTGTAGGTTGGGTCATCCTTGTATCGCTTTGTGAAGTCGTAAGAGGCAGATGTGTAGTAATCTGGTGCAATTTGCTTGACTGCTTTCAAGAACTCAGAGACTTGAGTAACTGGATCGCTGAGAGCAGGGATTCCGATTGTTTGGGCTTCATCCATGATTTCTCGATAGATTATGAGCCATCCTCCAAGTTTTGCTCTTTTGATTGATAGCATATGCTTGTTATATCTTTCCAATACCATTTGTTGTCTCCCAAAGTTGTCTGGCGCTAGCTGTTTTTCAAGAGCTTTTATGATATCCCTGACTGTTTGCTCCTTGCTGACTTGGCTGATATAAGTGGCTGCTACAGTGTTCATGATCCAACTGTGAATTTCTAGAAGACTTCGCCGAACCTGGTTGTATTGGTCTTTTTCTTCTTGATAGATAGCTTTTCCATAGCTGATAACGTTGCTATAGTTTGCTCGTTCTTCTTGTCTGAGGTCTTTTGGGTCTGGGAATTCCAATCTTGGCTTAGTATTAATCTTGGTTCCTTTTGGATTCACATAGTCCCAGACTTCATGAACGTTTGCCAGCATCTGTAAGTTGTTGAACCAGTGGTTCCAGTCGCTGTCAGTCTGTAGCCGCTGTGTGTATTTTGCAGTTTCCGTAGTTGAATTCATGATCTCTCTTGAAAAGAGAACTGGTCTCTCTCTTCTGATCGTTGTGCAGTTGGTTTTTCGCCGTGGCCAAGATTGAGTTCGTGACTAGACACTTCTTGTTTCAAGTTGGTGATTTTGTCGATTGTTGCCTAGAGGTTTGAGGGTATATAGCCAATCTCAACGCCTCAATTCTCAACAAAACGCAAGACGCCCCCCCTGTCTAATGAACCTGCCGTTTAGTGTAGTTGGTCTAGCCACCCAACTTGTAGCTATTCGCAAGGACCGTAAGACTGGCAAGCTCCCCTTCGTGGGTTCAATTCAGGGTTGTGGAGTTTTCGCAATTTGTAAAAAGTCTTATCGGTTCCGTTACACGAAGACTATAAAGTGAACCACCTGTTCGTCTTATCTGCCCGAAGCTTTCAGAGGCATAAAATGAGCAACTAGGTGTCTCTTCCGTTTCGTAATTCCAACCCTCCTGGCTGCGTATCAGTGGTATGGTCGAGCATGAACTTATATAAGGTTCAAGTTAAGAGTCCTGGGTTCAACTCCTCAGATGTGGTAAGTCCCCCTGAGTTGAGATGAACTTTTTGTGATTTTTTGATAAGTGTTGATGATATGAATTGATGACCAGAAGTTCTTTTGTGATTGAATGTTTCAACACTTCAACGTTCAGCCTTGTGTGATTGGAATTGATGTTTTGTTTGGTGGACTTGACTGCCAAAGTCTCATGGGTCGGTAACTTCGTCAATTGAGTGCCCTTGTCTATGGCATAAGTCTGAACTGCTCCCTTCTGGAAGTCGGTTTTTCAATTGGTAATTGTCACCATGAGGTACTGGGCTCATAACTGTCACGCAGTCAATTTGCCCACCACTTATGGGGTAAAAAAAGATGCTTCCATTCCTTAGAGACTGTCTAGGGGTTATTGGGTTGATTATATAACCGTCTATTCGGTAATTACCGATTTGAAGGTTTTCATGCACAAAATGACATCCCCGTTAGTTTTATATGGGAAACAATAGCCGGGTGCATGGGTTGAATGCATGCCCCGATATATGCAGTGGTCCGTGTGACACCGAGCTTATGTACCCCCACGGCTCAGAGCTAATTGCCTTGGAAGACAAAAACCAAACCGATATTAGAAGCCACCAGCAGCAGAAGCAGCAACAGAAGCCCAGTCCGAACGAGTCAGGAATAATTCGAGAGGAGCTTCTTGAATATTCACATAGAAAAGCCGACGTGATATAGTTTGCCTCCTGGGGGCCCATCGAGTTCTAAGGGCAAGAGGGCGTGATGATCACTCTGGTTTGTTTGGCATGCATTCCTGCGGGTGGTCATAGTTCAAAATTTACACAAAGCAGAAACGACTGGCTTTTCTTCCCCAAAACTCCTCTATATATGCCCTTGACTCCAAAATGACGAGCCTCTTGTCTGATGTGCCGATGTTTCGCTCCTTCTGCCGTCTCCCTGTTTTCATCTAACACAATGTAAAGAGTATCCATCCCGTTGCTACCGCCGTTCTGTCTATCCGGAAGTGACTGACGTCAACTGCGTCGACCGCGATGTCATAGTACAAGGGTATGTCTGTGTCGTTCGGTTCGCCGGTCATACGTTAGGCCTGCTTCGGAGGAGAAGTGGAAGAGCTAAAGGGCGGAAGGGCGGGGGGAGGCGCTTGCGCTTGGTTGGCATGGCATTTCAAGGTTTGTCGCGTTTGTCTGGTAGCAAAGACGACCGCGTCTCGTAGCTGCTCGGAGATGACAGAGAAGGGAATGGCAATGGGTGCTGCGACTGTGCCGCCGTCGAGATCGGAGGAGCTGCTTGCGCGTGTTAGTCAAGGCAGATCCCTAGTATCAAATCTGAGGGCGGAATGGGGAGGCAAGTCAACATGAGAGACTTACAGAGGACGTTCTTCCAGGCTGTGCATACCATTGTCACCCTCTTGGCCGATCAAATCCGGCATCCAAAGACGTAGGTGGGCGTTGGGATCGGAGAGGGGCGTCCAGTGCAGAACGCATTCAGCGCCCACGATAGCCGAGTCGCTAGCATCGGGACCGGGAACCGCCACCCAGACCGCTACAAAGCAGTTATCGAGATTCTCGAGAATAGCGTCGTAGTCGGTAGGGTTCGCCGGATCATAGAAGATGTCAAGAGCGACGGCGGTGCGGGTATAGCCGTGGGTGCCAGTGATGAAGCTCTTACATCTGTCGGCTAGCTCGCAGCGGGTTCGTGGGTGCGAGAAGGCGACCTCGAGGATCATACGCGCGTTGCAATCGACTCCCTTCTTGCAGAGACTTCCATCGGGGTACTGCTGCTTGCCACTGACGAGACGGACGGGCGTGGATCCGAGGCCCTGGATTGAGCTGTAGAGGTGGCGTAGACGAGGGTTCTCTGCGACGGCAAAGCGGATCGTTTCCTCCATGTTGCGGGCAAAGACGTCGTGGAAGGAAGTCGCGTTTGGCATCTTGAGCTCCGTCACATGGGTATCGGGGTCATGTTCTAGCTTGAGGCGGTCGGTATCGATTTCTGGGTAACGACTGAGTTCCGCGACGAGCTGGTTATACGAGTCGTTATCGAGGGTCCAAGGGCCGACGACGACCTTGGTGTTGACAAGGCCATTGTACTGCTCGTAGACCAGGACTTGGGCAATGGACTCTGCGATGTCCTAGAGATTCTCTGATATCAGCATGGTGCCGCGGCTGCTGTGAACGGTTTTGCTCTAGATGGGACTTCCCGCGCTGGAGATAGTGATGGTGACGGGTGAGAGGCCACAGCGTGGGGAACGAGGCAGACCGCGAGTGCACAGGGGTAAAACAGATGCTTTATTGCCAAAAAGTGATATAAAGGTGGACTCACGAGAACTTCCATAATGTGCGAAAATGGGGGTGCCAGGTTCTTTTGTTTTCTGTTTTGATCTTTGTGCTTGTCGTGAAGTGACGTGAAGAAGTGAAGTTATGAATGCTGCTTCTCTCTTTTTGAGCCTTGCAGGGATGTGAGCTTCAATGATTGATTTAGGTTGGACAAGCGGGACGGGCCGGTCCGTGAGACAACAACGAGGTGTGGAAGTAGAAAGAATGGGGTGTGGTGGGTCTGGATCAAGCGACCAGCTGAGAAAAGTTGGTGGCGTCACAACGGCACCAAGCAAAAGGACAAAATTCGTGGTAAAAGTGGTGTGTCTAAGCAAAGTTCCTCTGTGCCGCATGGTTGGTACCAAGAGTCCATGCTGAGTCATCAATGCCCACCTGCCGCGACAAAGGGTTGCCGCCTGCCAGCAAGCTGACAGCAGATGTCAGGAGCACGTGGCTAACAAAGGCCGAGATTTGGAAAGCGGAAGACAATGAATTGTATTGTTTGCATCCCTTGTGAAATGCTCCGCGGAGTCTTGTCCCAAACTGAAATACTCTTAACCTCTACACCTCGTTGGATTAAGTCCACTCTGAGCCCTTGACAGAACGGCCACTGAAGAACAAGAGTCGTAGACTGGCGAGGATATATGTAAGTAATGAAGCTACGATTGTTCTGTCCTTGAAGATGTTTTGCCTTGATAATATGGTTAATCGAGCCCTATGGTATAGCACAGCCATATTGCTTGACGGAAGACTCGAAAGCGACAGGATGTTGTTTGGAGTGGTACTACCATCATCTGAGCGCCCACCCCAAACTTGTAGGCCGTGGAAATTTGCCCTAACCAACATGACTCTGTGCATAGTCTGCGGATCCACGACGATCTTCTGCTTCTTCACTGTGCCACCGCAATGGATCGACACTGAGATGGGGATAGAAGAGAAATAGGTGCCTCCAAGATAAGAAATGAAGACCCCAAACAGGCAAATATCCTTCGATTGCCCGTCAGTTTAGTAGTTGGCATCGTGGAATATCTCATCTGAAATATCGATTTCGACGGCAGACTTAAAGGTACCGAGCAGCATGGGCATTGTCTGTCTATCTCATCAAGCCACTCTAGCAAAGCATAATCTTGCTGCTCCCATGATAATAAAAGTGAAAAAACGTTGCCTTTCCTTTACAATTCTACAGTCGTCTCAACGATCCGTCCATACTCGTGGTATAAGTCCTCCCTGACCCGAATGAAGGCCATTCTAACCTCCATCTGCCGCTGACGCATGGCTAGCAGTTGAAGATGCTTGGCCTTTAATCTGCTTATTGTTGCCTCCTCAGTAGGGCCTACCATTTTGAGGCCCTGAATGGCGGAAAGATAACCGCTGATCTTTCCATCAAATGCATCCGCACCATCGATGCCGTCAAAGCCATTGCATAAACCGAGAGCGTCCTCGAGAACAGCAACCACTCGCTCTCTTGCGACAACCCATGCATCCTGCTGTTTTTGGACAGAGTTCATGATGTCCTGCTTGTAGGTGTCTAAATCTTTTGCCCAGGCTGCGAAGTCTGCCTTGGTTCCCAGGGCGGGGGCTTCTGGAGGCTGACTATTAATATTATTGCTGATACTGGGTGGCTTAGCGAATTGCTCCGACAAGGAGGAGTCCATTCTATTTCCTGCGCAAAATGCAGTCAAGATGCGTCGCCAGATGGCATAGTCGGTCGTTTGAGGGATTGGGAAGCCTGCCATAAGGTGCAAAGCATTGACAATGGTCGCTATTCTACAATCGACCCCGTTAATTTGCCTAGGGCAGGCTGAGTACCCAAAATGTGGGTGAGATTGGTCTCTGTCGTCCTGGTTCTCCATCAGGGCCAAGAGGCTTTCCAGTTTAGTCCGCAGCTCCTCCTCGCAAGTCGCCTCGGGTAAGGAATCTAGGACATTAATCGAACCCTTCGGACGAGTGATTACCACCAGAACCCAGTGCCTGGCCTTCGACAGAAGGTTTATGGGTGCGAGGACGATAGCGGTAGGCTCAGCAGCAAGACGTTTGCGGACACTGTTCGGGAGAGGGTTGTCCTTGAACAAAAGGGGGTCGAGAACCACCGTCGAGAATGGAAAGATATCATTGGCAGCGCGGAGAACTTCAGCAATGACTGTTCCCTCAACCAGTTTGCCGTCTCTCAAACAGTCAATATTGAAGCCGTGAGCTGACTTGAGCGCAAACTGCGCTGGAGCAGCTAGACGTTGTCGCTTGGGGCTTGATGCCGACACGGGACTTTGAGGTTCTGCCCGTTTCGGGGACACTGCATCAAGGGTTGTCGCTTGCTGAGGCGTTGTCGCTAGCTGAAGAGTTGGCGTGGGTCTTTCTGGCGTCACGGGTAGTTCTTGAATCAGAGGCGGTTCTGGCGTCGCGGGCTTTTGTGGCGCTACTAACGTCGATGTTATGACTCGATGGTTTGGTCGGATCTGCACATTAGTAGATAGGCGTCGAAAGAGCGGACTGCTGCCCGAAGGGTCTTCTAAGTCGTCAAATATATCGGGAGGGTTGTCCTCTGACAGCCCAGATGGAAAGTTGGACTGGTCTTTGTCAGGCGATGAGCGACGACCATGTTCAGGGTCCTCAATGTCATGGTTGTCCGACTGCGAAAAATAGATGTCAGTAAGTGCGCCCAGCGGGTGGGCAGTATGGTAGCAAACCTCTTCGTCATTGTAGTCTCCTAGCCCTCCAAAACCAGTGCACTCAGATACCGAATTGGTTTCTGACTCAACGTGCCGACCAAGACCATCATCTATCAACGGGTCTTTATTCTGGGGAGGGTCTGCGTTGAGAGTCTCTTCAGAAAGATCGGGACACTCGTCTTCCTTTGGGCCACTATCACTAGGGACCTCATCAGAATTCTTCACAAGACGCTTCCACACGGCGTCTAACGGCTTTTTCGTATAAGGAACATCATGCAGATCTCCACCAGGGCCCCAAAGGTCTGCCGGGTCCCGTTTGTTGTCTCTACACCGCTTCACAATCTTGCGAATATTAAGAATGGCGTCGTACGAAATGGTATCAACGTTAATGCCCTTGGGAAGCCATATGCGTCCGCTACAGAGATTGTCCAGTTCGTCGTGATAACGGGTGATAGATTCGATGCATCTCTTTTTGCTTCGGGCAGTGGTCAGATTGCGCGCCTTAAGCCGATCAGCCTCGGTGAGGTCTTGGACCATCATCTTGCGGACTTGGTTAAGTCGTGGCCCGTCAGTAACGTATGTTAAACGGATGTGATCCGCCGTCTCCGGGCGGTACTGTGAGATGATGTTATTCAGGTCCTCACGTAAACCTGAAATGGAGCGCAGATCTTGTTGACCGAGGTCGGCGAGGAAGGCGGAGTACTGGAGAAGCAGAAGGCTCAGGTTAGCGCTGGATGCGTGTCATCGGATGGCCAGAGCAGGGCGTCAACCGTGTCCGCGCCCAGGACTTACAAGAAGACTTGAGTCGGAATCGGAGCGTGCGTTTGAATCTGAAAAATCGCCGTCGATGAGCCTCATTCGAGCAGCAGCTGGGACCGGAGGTGGACGTGAGGGGCCAGAAGTGGATGGGCTTGAATCGAGATGAGGAGTGCGAGGCATGCTTCCGCAGTAGGCGTAAGAAGAACGCCGATGGTATACGCAGAAACAAAAACATCAAAGTTGAAAACACGTTTGCTTTGTTGTCGCTATCTTGTCATATGTAGCCTGGCTCTATGTTTGATTAATTGACATTGGGCATTAGGGCGGCTTTGGAGGAGATAGCGGGACGAGAAGGAAGCAACGACGCATAACAAATTTCCGATTCCTAGGTGCGAGCACATGTGGCTCGGAGCAACTTCCATTGGAAGGAACGGAGCGACGCATACTGAAGGAAGCCGCTTCTTGCACATGACTGTTGGGCAATAGCAACGGCATCAACAACTGTAAGGTACAGCCAACTTTGGCTGTGGTGATTAAGATGTAACACCTCGCCAGAAGTGGGTGCACACGCACAACGCCCCCACAAAACCACCATAACATGTTGCGCCCAGATTATCAAAGTCTTTCCTCTAGCCCTCGGGTTGATAATTTCAGCATCAGAATTGAAGTCGATTTAGCCGGAAACCCTACTCTCAAAGCATTGTCTCAAGTAACGGGCGGCAGTGTGGCGCCAAATGTGGCATGGCTCTGATATTGGTGTGCACAGACTTTATGACAGGAATTTTGGAAGGAAGCGTAGCCAGGCAGTGGAGAGGGGAGGACCCTTGCGGCAGAGACACAGCTTGCTAACAGACCAATGGGAGGAGGTATGGGAGACCGAACGAGATCTCTTATGGGGCGAACGAGATTATACGTCTCGTTCGCCCCATAAAAGATCTCGTTCGGTCTCGTTTTATGGGCCCCGCCTTCCACGCACAAGACACAAAATGACAAATGTGATGAAGCCGAGACCAACACATTCCAAAGTTCCTTCTGCGGCGCTCAATGGGCAGTGGCTCAGGACCCAAGCCTCCCGTCTGTGAGTCTGACTGTCTTCGGTAAGGCCGCGATCTTAGTCGCCAACGTGCAAGGAGTCAACAGTGGCGATGACGACGATACCCAACAGGTCAATCATGGGAACAAGCTCGTTTTATAACTGTTCATATGTACCTTTTGGCTCAAAGTCACTAATGCTGCTATCTGAGCAGTTGTTTTTGGCGTGCTAGACACCTTCGCAGAATGAAGCTACAAAGGCAACTCGCGATATAACTTTATTCCACCTGGCTTGAATCCATGGCCTTACTGGCAAATTGCTCCCTCCCGTGAAATACTAATGTTTACGGAGCTGTTTTTGTCGTTTTCGATGTTATTACTGTTCACTGCCATCTGTCACGACCACCACATGAATATTCCTTTGGAGGACTCTTGTTTATTACGGAGGAGAACTAAGACGAAAAAGTGCGAGGCGATGGAGGACTAACTGAGGACGACGAAGTAAGAATTTACAATAGCAAGAGGAATGGTGAGCGGTGAAGAAGTGCATGATTGAAGGAGTGAACACCTATGAATGGGTTGGCTTTTCGGCTGCATGCAGCCTATTGAGTGCAGCTAACGCGGGCAGTTTGAGGAAACAGAGGTTGATACACTGGAGACAGAGTACAGAGTCGCTAGATCAGAGCATCTAGTCCGTCGATGCATTATGTCAGCACGGTCTCGTTAAATACGTGGACGGTGGTAACGGGACGCTCAAAATCTACCAGAGCAAGTGACATCCCAACAAGCACTAGCCGAGAGGGACTAACCTTGTTTACTATGGTACGCGTTCTTGATGATTATTCTTATGACATCGTGCAGCAGGTCGATGTATATAAACGGTGCAGTGTGTCGGATGCTTATATCCCATCGACGGCGAGTTGGCTACAGGTACATTATGAGCCACAAATCGGCCCATAATTTCTCCAGAAATCCGTGGGAAATAGATATGGGATTGGAAGGAAGCTTTCACTGTCTGTCCCTGAATGGCTACAACCCCGCAGGCTATGTACCTCTAGCCAACTCGCAGTCGATGGGATAAAGCTCTTACACCATGTTCAACGGACTGCCCTCCGACAATGTTTAGCAAACACCGCCTTTTCCCTCGTTCGATCATTTGTCGCTTGCTTATGTTTGGCGGCACCTATATATGGCAACTAGAGCGAGACCAACAACCAATCCATCGCCAACACACACCACCGCAGCTTTAGGAGTATCAGAGGGTGCTGCCGCAGACGACGTCAACGCACACATCGCTGTTAGTGGGCTCATCGTCGCTTCTGCCAACTTGCGCAAACACATCATTCGGACCTGGAAGCGTGTCTTCACCGCTTACTCCCACAAAATCAGCCGCGTCGATGTCGCAGCCCGTCTTGACGCTCAACCATTCTCCTTGTGATTGCGCAACTAAATCTCTTAAGACGCCTCCCGCTGATTCTCCACACCATCTGCAGCCAGCACTAGGACATGGCAGTCGCGCTTAAACGCAACGAGGTCGTCGCGGACCTTGGCTCGACTGCAACGATGACTTTTACTTATTCTTGGCTATGATACTGCGCCTGCCGGCATAACCTGCCTCATATCGACGGCGTTGATCTATCCTGTCGACTTATCCGCGTCCGAGCCGCCGGCTCACGCTACGTTTCCCAGCTGTTCTACTCGCGAGAACTTCGGCTGCGAAAAACAAAACTGGTAGGATTTCGCGATAATAATGCTGCTGATGGGCCCTGGCCGCATTTCAGCTTAAGTTGCTTATACCGATGGGCCTCATTCAATGTAGCCGCGGCCGCGACCGAATCAGAGAAAGACCACGCCAGCTACGAAGCCTCCCAGGTTGGAAAAGTGGCTGCCACATCGCGCAGTTATCCGCAAACGAAACCCAATCAACCCAAAGGAAACGGTACTCCTTCGGAGCGCAGAGAGACTTCAATCAGAGACAGCCTTAGGCAAAAACGAGCAACAAGGTGGGCTGTAAAGCCCCAGCAATCGACTGACCGGTACTATCTCAGCACCATTCAAGACCAAGGCTCTACAAATTCATTTCTCGACGACAGAGGCGACTGATTTATGCCCTACAACGACAGGACTAGCCCGTCGCCGAATCGCCGATCTCCGCACAAAAATATTGGTCCGTATCCTGGCCATCGAGGAATAGGCCGAAGGCTGCTTTGAAACGAGGACGAGTTGTGCTCCGTCTTCGAGGCAAGGGCGGAGTCGGTTCACAGCAGCAGATCGACAAAGAAAGACCGCCTCAGTCTTCAGGAAGCGTGTGGCCGAACGAGTCTATTAGACCTAGTCAGCGAAGCGACTATGGGTTCTTGAAGCGATACAAAGGGTGCGTGACGCTCTGAAGGAGCTGGAGCGGGCGGTAAAGGAGCTTTTGCTTCCTTGATGATGGTGTAGCTATTAAATTACGCTGTCTAAATCACGGCCTTGACGTTCCACCGAGACGAGAACGGCAATAGAGAAATGCTGACAGTACCTTTCTTTGCCTATATACGTCCAAGGTTGTTGACGTTTCGAAATGGCAAACATGTCTATGTATGTGCGCAGTCTCGTTTAATAGCCTAGTCAGTAGTCACTGCCGATTTAGTGCAGCAACCGGTAGGTACCTACTAACAGTATTGCCCACCACCACCACCACTACTACCAATACATCATCGCAATCATATGTCGCCACCATCCTTATTTCACTATGGATTGCTAACACATTATCTCTAGCACGGCTCCTAGAAAGATTAACCATCCACTAATCCAGAATCAGCTTTTATCATTTCAATTGTCGATAGACAGGCCAGCCTGCCCGATGACCATGCCTATCTGCACCAGCTCCACCATTCACGTCACCAAGCGTCTGGAGCAATTGAAATGCAGCCCAAGCGAAGGCACACTGCCCAGGCCAAAAAGGCTGTGGTACTGATTAGATACCTTGGGATCGGTTCAGGTCTCGTCTGATCTGGTTGAAGCTGGATCGGTCCGGCTCGTAACGGATGCCTCTCCCAGCCCTGCAGGACGCCCTGCTAGTAAAGTTATGATATATCCGGCCTACCTCGTCAACGTACACTTTCATAACACTTGACCGACAGATCACAGCTCCCAAAAAGACTGACCAATTTACGGCACTCTTACTTTACTCTGGGAACCGCCAGCTCCGAATAGCTTTGCCAGTACCAGTAGGGAATCCTTTCTTGCCGTTAACAAAATTAGCATCAACTTCCACCAAACTCGGATTTAGTTTGCATTCTAATTCAGATGTTGGGATGACTCAGGCTCCAAAACAGACTCAATGCCCCCTTCTCGCCATGTATTCGTCCGTCAGGTCTTCCATCTTCCCATCGCCTTCACCTTGCTATCTCTCGCTCTGGTCCTGGACCTCGCTGCAGTCTCCAATCCTCTTGCGACATGGTAGCATGCTGCTCTTCTTCATCTTCATCATCACCACCCATATGACTGTGGTCCTCCTCTATTTGCACGCCAAAAACCCCCGCATCATCCTCGCATATGAACCGCGGTCGCTCAATCCTCTTCTCACCTGTCTTATCACTTTCTACTCCTCCCTTCCTCTTCTTGTCCATACTCACCACCGCTGTTTCAGATAAAGGCGAGACGAGCTCAAACTCGACGTCCGCCTCGACCAAGACTGTTGAAAACTCGGCGTCTAACGTCGCCGCCGATATTAACGCTCAACTGCTCCTGTTATGCACCCAACTCCACTCCCACGCCGTTGCCTCCGCCGTCGACACAAATACAGACACCGCCAGAAACAAAACCTTGCATCTCCCACTTCGCAGCGATGCTGGGCCGCCAAAGATGCTTTCTTGGCCCTGTATTCTGCTTGGCATCAAGTCACCCCCGTCCTCATCCATCAAAGGCCGGCCGTCCGCCGTCGCCGCCGTCGCCAGGGCCATGCTACAAGACTTGCCTGCCGCACCCAAGATCCTCTTGGACGCCAGACTCCATTCGGAAGTTCTCCCTTCCACAACAATACCTTGCGCACCGTCCTCGGGGCCATTGCCCAGCACCTCAATCTCGCCACGCAACACGAGAGTCCCCTCCTCTTTTCGGCTTCCATCTAGGCTGTCCGATAGTGCGTCGTCAATTTAGTTTCGGCCCATAACGATGCAGCCTCGGAGCTTCTAAGGCTTTTACTTGTTGCTTCGAACCTTGGCGTCCATGACCGCCATGATGACGAGAACGAGAACGAGCCCGAACATTACCTTGACTCTCAAGCGACCACAGCGATCATCTGTTCCCCACCGCCAAGCCATCCTTCTCGAGGCAAACAGTATACGGCGTCACATCAACAACCTTCTCCCCTCGATTCAGGAAGCCGGAAACCATGCCTGAGAAACACGTCAGCGCGCACAGGACGTCGTTGGCAGCCAAGAGTATGTCAGTAACTCAACCTTATCGCTTATCGGATCGAGACCACTCACAAACGCCAACAACAGCAACATTGGCAAATCTTTAATCGCAACAACGCAAAAGACTTATATCACGTTCACCCGTCAGCTGTTAGGGTCATCTCTCGCTGTAACTGCCGTACTGCGGCTTTGGAGGTGACACAGCGTCCCGGACCGAACCGCCTTAGTGGAAAGCAGACGCCGCATAAGCTGATCCCCGACACCTTGGAACTGCTATGTGCTCTTAAAGCAACCTTGTGTTACGCCTTTGACTTTGGGGACGTCGTCTGGCCTCTGCAAGCGGACTGCCGCATGTAAGACTTTGATGTGGAGGAGTTATGCACAAGGTTGCGAGCTCAGTGAGAAATGACTTGCGTGGAACCCAACACATGACATTCCTGGCCTGTCGTTGTAATACGCCATTGCTGCAGGTGCCAAGGATTAGTAAAGTAAAGAAGTTTTACCATCAAGTGCTTTTAAGTAAAGTGTCTCATATGACGTTAATCAACGTTGAATCCTTTGCGCTTAAAGCAAGTGGTTCGGACTATCAAGCATATCTACCTTGATCGTGGGGAAACGTCCGGCTGGAAGATGCAAAAATACTATAGCGTACGCAAGGGCTTGTCACAATAGGCGGGTTATCAGCCAGTCAATGGACTAACATGTCATCATTGGAATCGCCGAGCCTCTGTTTTCTCCGTCCTCGACGTTCCGCTCTCTTTCCCGGTCACTGCTGTGGGACATCTATCGGACTCTACTGAGCCAAGCAGGGTGGTTGATATAATCCTCGATGCGAGGGTGAAGAAGTAGAGGCATGAAGATACACATCTTGAATGTCAACTTGACAAAGCTCACAGCGGAATTAGCATCCAGCACTACATATAGAGATCATCCTCGAACAGGATTGACTGGGCTACAAAGTAAGCATATATCGAGGCTGCTAATAAGGTAGGCCCACAAGTGCCAAGTTCATGGAGGATCTCCATAAACTCCTGCCACAGCGTTTAGTGGCAGCTATAGCTTGGGTTTGTCCATGATTTTCAACGCGTGGTTTGCTTGTGAAGGGGGCGTTTCGTTCAAAAGCCTACTCTAATGCCACGTTTATTTAGGCTTTGGCTTCTACCTCAGAAGCTTCCTACACTGCACCCGCGCTGTGACGACAGGCTTCTTGCTCCGAGATGCTGCTAAACGTTAGGTAATCCGTCATACACGTTTCTTCCTCATCTCGCACACTTGTTTTTTCACGAGCGGCGGGAGTTTTTCACCATAGTCTCACGCAATTTTTCAAGGGCCTGGAGCGCAAACTTTGCCGCAGCGTCCACTCTCCGTCTCTTCGCAGCCTCCAAGTTCACGCAGGTCTCTGCGACGCGCTTCATCCAGGTACCTAGTCAACGCAGTTCTTCGATCAACCTAAGCCATAGCCTCCGTCTGCTGGTTGACCAGGGTAATTTCGTCCGCGGCTTATGCGTCAGGATCTCGCAGCAAGGATCCGCCTCCCAGGGGTATGAAAGCCCTCATGCGCTCCATCGCCATGTTTTCCAGACTCTTGATACCTGCTGAAGCGCTGGTATGGTCTGAAAAGACTGTCTATCTGTAGACCTCTTGCAGCTCCACTATCCCGTAACGACAACGGCAGGAACACTTTTTCGTCTTGCCAACGAGACAGTCATGACTTCATGCACCTATAGCAGATAAAGAAGTTTAGTTCAGTATTGTTACTGTCTATCTGTCCTTCCCTTTGCGTAGAGAGAGGAACATGATCTGGGCGAGCTGTATGTTCGAGTTTATCCGGCACAACAGGTTGGAGGCTGACCCAGGGCTAGCCGCCAAATATTTCCACCCGCCCTTAAGTATTCCTAGCGTACATGGATACTAGACGAAGTGGTTGGTAAAGCTAGGTCTGTCGCTTCTGAGCTATGTCAATCTCAAGCTGCTGTCTCTGAGGATCTGCAAACCCTAATGGCGATTACATAGCAAGGTCAATTTTGCCCTCATTAGTTGCCAGCTTGGATCCTAAACAGGTCACTCTCGATTCAGGCATGCTTACAGGAGCCGTTGAGAGGCAAAAGGCCACAACAGATGTGTACATACTTGACCTCTCTTGCAGCTGCAAGTGACAACGAGCAACTGGGTTAGTCTAGCGAGAGTTGAATAAATCCTTCTAGATAGTTGGGAAAACCTAAAGCAGGGAAATGTTTCAAACCCCAATGTTCCTTTCCAAATGAAACTCTGATGATGTAGCCGCATTATACGGATGCTTCATTTTTACCTTTGTAAACGAAGGATATGTGCAAGCCGTTGGCATGGTTGGGAGACAAGGGGGCATTTTTTGCGGGACGTACCGCATGCGGTGACTCGTCGCCCCTGCAAACCGGCAAATGACAAGGACACTGGACATTGTGATGGAAAGATGCAGGCATGTTTTGTGCTGTGCTAATAATAATTTTCAACGACGAAAGCGCGCTCGCAGTTAATACAAAGCATAGATGCCAGGCGGACTCGAGAGTAGGCATTGACAACATGTAAACCGGACCACACTTGATGGGGTGAGTCAAATCACCCTGCCGAGTTTTGTCTTCTTTTCCTTTGCACTCGGATATTGGAAATATGGCTAAATGGGCAAACAAGACAAGATCCACCATGTGTCATAGGCCATCCCCACGACAGCTTAGTTCTCATCACTGCATAGAGTCACTCACTGTAGCCGCGCCAGCTTGGCCTCTCCTGAGCCTCCTCGCCATCCCACCGCCGAGCACGCTTGCGGTTTTGTGGGGGCTCTTGCGGCGCGAGTGTGGTTTCAAGCGGCCGCTGCTAAAATGAGGGAACGGGCTAAAGGGTTACGTCGGACGAGCTGACAACGAAATGAGGTGGCTGGCGAGGGGTGCGCCCCGGGTTGTGCAAACCTGTCGAGTGCGGCTGCTGGTACTCTTGGGTGAAAGGACTCGGAGGCTCGCTGTAGTAATGTCATCGTCCGACAGGATGTGAAAGTAGTCAAATATTCATAAAGGGGCCCAGATGCGACGTCAGCAGACCTGGCAGCACGTATCTGGAAGCTTTGGGCTGCGGCCGCAGGGGTCCAGCGGCGGGTCGACTTGCGTCGCTGAGGACTGAGTGAGCGCGGCAAGCAGAATGAAAAGGTCGCTTGTGTACTCTGAAGGTGTGTGATACGAGCGATATAAGTCCCACAGAGAGATGTCGGGCTTTTGGAGGGACGTGGAGGTATATGCTGCAGTCGAAAGATCTCTCGCGAGCAGAGCGGATCGCACTGTGATCTGGGTAGGCGATAGAGGGAAGCAGCATCTTGGAAGAGGGTTCGGTGGATGAAGTCGTGTAGGAGTAAACGGCGCACGACATTTGGATCGACTGCGGCGCGTAGTAGAAGAGTTTATTACCTTGGAGAGAGGATCAACAGCCAGTGACCAGTGACCAGTGACCGAAACGACTGAAGAGTTGGGGGAGAGGTAGATGAGTGACCTGGCAGGACAGGCGGCACCCTCTGATCTCAGATGGGGAAAGGGGGTAAAAGCGCAATTCCGGCGTGGTGATAGGAGAGTCGAAAAGGGATCAGGCTGACGTTGGAGGTGACAGCATCAGGGGTTGGCGATGAAGTGGTGGTGGGAGCTGGAAAGGCCTGCTGGAATCGGTCAGCACTTCAGGCGAGGTGTAATTGAGTAGACTGAGCTGGCGCGACGTTCAGTGCAGTAGATGCACCAGTAGGCATTCACGAGAATGCCACCGTAAGATCGCGGAGATGGAGGTATCTTGTTGAATTGATTCTGAGGGTAGGTGTTGGCCGGTCGACGCGTTCCCGGATATGTTCTTGAACCGACCAGAAGCCAGTTGGCTGATGGAAATGTTGCTTCCGCAGTAGGAAGGCTCGCTAATGATGGCACTGCTTGGACAGCTCCGTCTGACAAGCGAGGAATATGTTGAACAAAGTTGTCGATAATGAGTTCGTCAGACTTGTGAAGGGTCGGGGTACAACCGAGAGCGCGGCAGTAAAGAACGCTAGAAAGCAGCTAAGAAGCGAGTGGTCAGCTTCAAGATGTATAAGCCAGGCCATACGACAATCTGATAGCCAAAGGGGGACCAAAGTAAAGTCTGAACGAGGACAAGGTATCCTAAGGGGTTATGACAAGCGTGTTAAGCGAAGCTGAGGGTGGTTATTTTTGTATAGCATCGAGGCGAGTCAGTACCCTCCCAAGGCAACAGCAACAATGTTGCGATGGTTCTAATCAAAGATCGTAATAGTGATGGGGCGGATACGGAAGAGATGAATCCCAGAGATGATAGACTAGACGTTAGATAAGTCGATCAAAACGTTTTTCGGTGTCGGAAGTAAATTTGATAATAGCTTGAATTGGAAATGGTAAGCTCGACATAGGAGAAGGCTATTAAGGACAGCCTCCTCCTCCTTCTCCTCTTCTACTATATAAGCTAAATAGCTTTCAATATATTCTTTTTAATAAGCAGTCTCTAAAGTTCTCTAGCCTAATCTTATATACTTGAAACCTCCGGGAGCTTGCTGCGTAAAGTACGGTGGGTGCAGGTTTGGCCAGGCCATTTGGTATGGGGGTGGACATGGGGGACCGCGAGTGGCGAGCGAGGTTCGGGGCTTCTTTCAAAGTGTCTCCTCATAGAGAAGGGATAGATATGTAGTATTGTGGCGATCGTTTGGTGTTGATTATGCGACTTGACTTGCTTTAATCTTAGATCTTATAGATTATGGGTTTACGACCCTACCTGTAGTATAGAGGAGAATAGCGCCCTTAGCATCTAGGTCACCTTATGAAGGAATATATGCGCCTTAG